GACCTTCAACAACTTAATCATTACAGAAAAGACGAAGTGTAAAATGAAATCAATCGCAAGATTCACGTTACCATGTTCATAAAAGAAAAATGGAAAAGGCTTTTTGAATGATAAATTAAATTAGACGTCGACATGACTCAACCATGACAATTTCATCCATTAACATTCCGCGTTTATTTTCTATAACTAAAGAGATGTACAACATGGTCATGGGACCCGCATTCGATTATTTATGTTTACATTAAGCACATTTATTTTATTTTATTTATTCGAAGGTTTTTTTTTTTTTTAATTGGTTGCCTAATAATAAGATGCAAAGTTGCCTTATCTCTTTACTCACTCTTTCTACATACTTCTAATTTAAATATAAATTTTTTTATTTTTAAATAAAAAATTATCATTAAATTATTTATATTGTTTACACATTTATAGCACTTTTTACATATTTGAGTATGATCATTAAATGAGATTAGTGTGAACCTAGAAACTTGTACATGAAAATATTTAGAGAAATATAATGCGTAACCTGGTCCTTGAACTTGATGAATTTTTTAAGAGAACCCTTTAAATTAGATTGTTATCATTTCAGCCCTCGAACCAATCTCTCTCTCTAGGATGGAAGATATAGGCTTTATTTGGTATAATTGTGATTTCTAATTTTGAGATCTAGTTTTCATAAACTTTGTAGCTGTTAAAAACTAAAATTAAAAATAAAAATTGATAATTTGTTTAACACCAACAACTAAAACTATAACCTTGTTTGGAAAAATTAAAACTATTTTTGTATCTATTTATTTACTAATCATAATAATATTTTGACAAATAAGCTTAAAATGAAACTAATTTTTTATTTAACGTTGAAAAATATGTAAAAATTAAAATTAAAAACTAAAATGGCAACCTTCCTAAGCAAAACTATAGTTTTATTAATGTGATAGAAATTTAAGTGTAACCCACATAGATGGAATAACCTCATTATTTTTAAGATTCATAGTATAATTACATTGAATATGCAGTGAGCAATATAAGAGATTTAAGAAATTTGGCATCAATTTTTTAATTAAATTAATTTTAATTGATATTATTTCAAATTATCTATTAAATTAAAAATCTAGCAACCTTAAATTAAGTTAATAATTAGAATATTTTTTGAAAGAAAACTCCTAAGCAATAGGAAACGTCAAAGTCAAAGGGTCTAAATTGCTAATGAATTAACCTGGGAGGATTAATAGTTTAAAACTCATATAAGTTCAGGGGTACGTGTTTTTGCTTAAGGAAGTGTTGGGCCCACAAAATAGCCTCCCATGAAGTTCGGCTTTGCACGCGCAGTCAGGACTGTGGGACCCGCGACAGTCCCCTCCGCTGTCCGAACACGGACATCCATGCAAAAGCGTGGAATTTGATGGCCCCATTTCATTAGTTAGCCCTTCAACTTTGTTCTTCCTTCCAATTTCACCCTATGATTTTGTTTGAAGCTGAATAAATACATGAACTATTTTGCTAAAGAAAAAAAGAATTTTATAATTTGTATCATAAGGGCACTTTTTTATAATAAATTTATATAAAAAAATAAAAATAAATATTAATTTTAGAATTAATGTTACGTGAATAAATTTAATTTAATAGGTAATAAATTAAATATTATTTTTTTTCAAAACTCATAACATATACACTTATAATATTAGTTAAAAAAATCCAAAAGAAAAACCCCTTTATTCTTAGTTTTTTTTTTTTTTTGGCCTATATGGTTTATTGCTAGTTAATGCCATAGTGAACAGGAAGAGTGTGAAACCGTGTTCTTTTAATTAATAACTTACTCATCAAACTTATTTAATTTATTTAGAAATTGACATAACGAATCTAAATTACAAGGTTTTATCAATATTGAAGGATATTAAACAACAGTAAATTTTTGAATATCTATTGTTCTTATAATTTTTTCGGGATAGTAGTGTCAGTCTATATTGTAAAAATTAGGCAAAACTCTTTTAGCTAAATGACATTGTTTTATTGTAAAACCGCTTCATTCGTTCTCTTTTCTACCCAATTTGGTCTCCTCTATCTCCCTAGCCTACTTCATCTGTGTTGTTGCAATTTTTTTCAATTGTGATTTCTCTTCATTAAAGCTCGAAGATTGAAGCCACCTTCTTGCTCCCTCCTTTCAATCAAAGCCCCATTTTCTAAGATGAGGCCCCAGTCTAATTAATCATCCACATTATAAAACATGACTAATTAATCAATCAAATCATCCACCTTGTAGCACCAAAACATCCTAGCAAAAATAACTTAGAAGTTATAAAGTTCACAACTACTGCTCTTTATAATGAAACATGCTGCAATTATCAAAACTCTGCTCTTTTATCATAGAAATAGAGTATTGCACTTTGTACATTCCTGTTTCAATGGAGTAGAAAACCATTGGAGAGGTCCAACAATAGAATAAACAAATCACAAGTGATGAAGGACACTACAAATGAGGAATAGATATCGAAAGAGGTTAGGGATTGTGTCGAATTAAGGCAGTTGAAAAGGAAAATGAGTGAATTTGTGGTTTTTTAGCAAAATGGCATTGTTTAATTAAAATAATTTTACTTAATTTTTTTGTAATACAGGTTGATATTCATTTTTTCATATTCTTGTTATAACTTTCACATGGTTTAGAATAAGGAAGTTAATTAGATCAAAGATTTATAAGGACATTTAGTACATAAGTTAAAGATCCACTTGTTTTTAATTTTGGTGCTTTATGAGCCATTACTTTTGTTATAAATGTGCATAACTATAGAGGGAGAGAGGGCTAGGAAGAACTCAAAGGATGCTAGAATTGAATAACTTCACAACTTTACACAAAAGATAGGGACACTAGGAATAAAAACTCATCATACTAATTAAGAAAACTGTGCATACCTACTTTTGTGATAAAAAGTTTAGAAACTTAGAAGAATTATTTCTCTAACTAAGAACAAAATCCTTTCTTGAAATATACATCATAAGAAACAAATAACACAGGATCTCCTTAATTCTCGACTAGACTCTAATATTTAATTACATAAACGAAAACACAGGTTTCAAAACAACATTATATAACTCATTAACCTAGGAAATGTAAAAATTAAGAACCATTAAACTTAAATGCCAAGAGAAACTAACCAATGATCTCAAGGCACTATTTAATTATGAACCATTATAGAATGGAAAGGTGAATTGAACTCAAAAGTGTAACACAACCTTCATGCATGCAGACATTTTACAATTTGAAAAAGGATTTTTCTAATTTATACCCAAAGTTAATGAGGTATTAATTGCACCTTAATTAAACACTTTGAAATATCCGTCCCCACCTTCTTGAAAGTTTCCGTCAAAAACGATAAAAGTGATGCACTGCATGAATAACATATTATGTACAGTGTGTAGCTGTGTAGGCTGTAGGGTCGTAATTACTCTCAAAATAAGTTCAAGAGTGAAATTGTGAAAGGTAGGTAACTTCAAGGGCTAGCGTAGGAGTTATTCCCACGTCCCCCTCCCTATGCAAATTCCAATTTTCATGAGGAATCCAATACCCCCTATCTATCACGCCCGGCGTTGTTCTGGATCGTCATCATGATATTGCTTGTCCAAAACTCGGTAATCAGCGTACACGTTTTCGAGACCCCAAATTTTTTTTAGTTTTACTACAGTGTAGCACAGACATCAAAGCACATATGCCGTTGCTTTTTTTATTCATTCTAGGGACTTGAATGAATACATAAATTTTTTTGGGT